CAGCACCAAGGCAGCATCGAGAAGCTTGGCCATTGGCTCAGACGTGCTTCTAGAAACTATGGCTATGGCATGCTATGGCTCTATTTTCAGGCTGCATAAAAAGCGGCATTATTTTCATAGTTCCGACAGCATGCGTTCAGGTGGCTTTCCCGCCTGCCACTGGAGGTTCCTGAGGCACCAAAGCAGTTTGACTAACAACTTTGTGACTTTGGTGCTGTAAAGGGCAAGTCACTACAACCTGGACGTGGCCGAACAGAAGCTGCGCGAGACCATCGAGTTTCGGGCAAGCGAAGGTGCAAAGCAAGGAGCGGCACTTGCACAGAAAGTGGCTGGTCCAGCAGGAGCCAACTCTCTCTTGCAGACGCGGGCAGCACAGCAGGCTTGTTGACCATGAGTCGACGTCGAGATAGTGAGATGCATATAGAGCAGCAGTCAGTTCATGCGAGGTGCATGAGCAGCTTCACGAGATCTGGCCAGAGGTGGGGTCTGCTCGAAGCGATGGTTGAAGCCGTGAAGCTGTGGCCGAGCAGGTCCAGTTGGGCATTACCAGCGACGGGAGCCCCATATCGTTGTTCGATGCCGGCCAGGCGGCTTTGTTACTTGTTACGAATGCTCGCCTATAACAGTGCAACGAGTGACTTGTTTCCGAGACAATGGTAGTCAGCGTGTTCTGGTGTCAGTGTGCACAGATCAATGGGGGATTTGGGGATGCTGTTGTCAAGCGATGTGAGTCGGATGCTTCTGCTCTGGCTAGGCAGTACGTTTCCTCCAGCGCAATGTCAAAGAGGCCGGTGTTGCCTCATGCCGACATGCCAACATGATGTTGTTATATTGTTTTGTTTTTACAATACTATCATGCTTTTATATTGATATATTCTTATGTTGTTGAGGACCTTGTGCGTCTTTTCTGGCTTTCGTGGATGGAGCGAAGCTACGAGTTGCAGTGCCGTGGACGCTCAATGTCCAGCGGCTCGACAAGGAATGGAAGTGTCTCGTAGTGGGCCGTTCTTAGTGTTGGAGATCTCTGAGGCTAAGATCTCTGAAGTGAGAATCCCATCAGGTTTGCTCAGCTGGATCAAACGTTCCTCACAGGCAGAGGAGGTGTGGCAGCAAGTGTGCCCAGGCACCATAGATCCGCATGACATCCCCGGGACCGTGGTCGTATATGACTTGAAAGAGCTTCGGCTGTCCCAAATCACGCGGCCTGCCTAAGAATGGAACTGGCACATGTTTTTGCTGTGTCTTGCCTTCTTGCACTGGCTCTAAGCTGTGCTACACTTAGGTCTTGCTTGTCGGGTCTACACCAGTTTTGCCGGGTGGCCGGCCCGGACTGTGTGCAGGGTAGGGATCGAGCAGTTCTTCACACAGGAGAGGAACGAAACCTCACAAAATTATGAGTATCCCTTATAGTAAACAGGCGAGTAAGCAGGCTGTGGACTGAGGATACCCTGCAGTGTATGAGTAAGCGCAGTAGACTCTTCAGAGAAGTAGGCCCAGCAACGGCAAGTGTCGAGCCACATCCGAAGGTGCTCGGCCTCGCGGAGAAACACTACCCCTGCGCATTGCGTAAGGCCGCAGTCGAGTGGTGCTTGCATCGCGGTAGAATCGTAGTGCAACTGTAGAAAGCTTCTGATTGTAGTACTTGTTCTTGCAGCAGCAGTAAGTAGCCAGAGTAGTTGGTGGCATTGATGACTCCAGAACAGGAAGAGCCTCTCGAGGATGTGAGCCCGCAGCTCACAAGTAAAATGCTACTTCTTTCGCCGACTAACAAACACCCGTATGTACTATGGTGATGCAGTCGCATCGGCCACAGCGTATAGTCTCTAACTAACAATCATGGATGGTTGGTGTACTATATAGTCCAGTCTGACGTCATCTCTTTAATATTACTACGAGGCCAGCGCGCCCCCATGCGCCTGTTGGTACGTAGTGGTAGCATAGCTAGTGGAAGATTGTAGTTTGTACTCGTAGATAGTAGTTTGTATTCGCAGCAAGTGGTAAGTAGTAAAAACTCGTAGCAGAAGCTGCAGTAGAGTCAGGAGAGGTAAGAGCACAAACATCATGCTTGAAGGCCATCATATTGAATGCGCCATCAGTCTTCAGCAAGATGGTCTGGCCAGTTGTGCAGAAGGCGCAGTCACGATTCACGACATACATGCTGTCACAACGCGATTTGGTTTGTGGGACAGTGCAGGTGCTCGATTCCGACACCCGGGCCAACGTTGTTGTTTGTGAATCCTTACAGGCACCGCAACCACATGGCCACCTTGTCATTCACATGCTCAGTTGATTAAGCGCTGCAGTTGCCGCATGCACCAATCAGGCATTATCATCCGACCAACTGGGCTTCAGCAGGACGCTGAGGATTTTTGCTCGGCGGTGTTTGCCATGTCCACGTAGCTGCACATGCCAAACAAGAACCCCAGGTCCCAAAGATGTGATCCGGCTGATCGAGACCCGAGTGTGATGCGAGATAATTCTCCAACGTTGTACATTCGATTTTTGCATGAGCTTTTGGTGTCGGGGCATGTCCGGCCGGAAACACCTTTCCTCCCAACGAATTTCATCGGTCGTTTCTTGAACAACGCGCCTTTCCGGGCACTATGGGCAGCTGCGAACGATGCAATGCATAGCACGGGCTACTTACGATAGCCCGACAAGGTCAGGGCGCCTTTTCAGTGTTTCACAGGGAAGCACTCTTGTTGGGGTCAACGGGAGACCGCAAAAAGCACGTCCTGGCAAAAGATGGTTGAAAAGGCCCTTGACAAGAATTCGCCTCTTTATCACAATATCAAGCTGTAAAGAGACGGTTCAGAGCTCGTGGCTCCTTTTCGAAGTGAACCTGGCAGATGTCCCGATACCGCATGAGAGACAGAATGCTAAAGTCTCGCGCGGGTTTGAAGTGATTAGCAAGCGCGAATCCGGTCTGCAGAGCTCTCACAAGCCAGACTCTGCTGACTTCGCCTTGCGGAAGCTGGAAAAGCTTTGCATCTGGTCAGGTAGATCTTGAAAGGGCTACAGCATGACAGGAAGTCATAGTTCATAATGTGCGTCCTCGCTGTGAGGTCAGTAGATGGACGCAGTTACTTGTACCACATGCTACTACAATGCACACTTATACTACATAAATATACTATGATATACAACAGTATGGACAGTATGGCTTGTGCAATGATGGAGGCCACGGGGAGAAGAAGGACGATACAGTCACCAGATCGTGGGAGGATGTGTCTGTAGCGGGGCATACACAGCTGCCTGAATTTGTGGGATCCCCATGCTGTCCGCATGCCATCGGCTGCAAGCTTCTCAGTTTCGCTACAATAAAGTCGGCCAAGTACATGGAGCAGTGCGGCACGGCCTTTGCCTGCAGAAGGCGGTTCAAAGTAAGTTTATGGATGTATGGCTCATGATGCTGTCTAGATCAGGCCTATTCAGGCCTTCTTTCCGAGTCAGTCATGTGCAGCCTCGCCAGGGAGGGATGGAACTCTCATGGCTCTTTGCAAGGCCTGGCTGTGGCTCCTGGTCCTCGGGATCTCAGGGTGCCTGGCCGTGAGAATCCCTTGGTCCACCGTTCGGAAGAACTCGCCCACGGGTTGGCAGCCGGAGCCTTTAGAGCTCCTTAGATGCTAAAATGGTCTATGAGGGTGGAGGAGGCCTAGAACTCTTCGTGCAGGTCAGCGCCGCAGGGTTGAGGGGCAATCCCAAACTTGTGGTCTCCGAAGAGCAGGTAACGAGTCCAAGCTACGGGAGGGGCAAGTCAGCATCCTGTTCTAATGAGGGCGAATTGTCCTTCTTTGGAAAGACCTGACTGCCCAAGCGAGGCACCTTTGAGATGCTTAGCGTATCTTAGCGCCTTGGTGTGGCCAGAATATGCAGAACCCTTAAAACGGCAGCTTTATGCACTCGAGTTTCAAGCCTGTTGCTTGCCCAGTATTCAATCTGGCCCCACAGCTGCCTGGGTACTTTCGCACCAGGTTCCTCAGCGACCTCCACTCCAACCCTTTCATTTTTCCGTTTGAGCAGTGCTTCCCGCCTGAGAGTCCGGCGACCTTCGTCCGCTGCTGCAACGCCCACCGGCGCCACCAGCTGCCAAACCGGGATTGCTGGGGGAGGCCGTTGCTGCAGGGGGCCCAAGCCAAATACCTCCAGAGCCTGCATAAGCTTAGACAGTCCGAACCTCTTCAGAAGGGGGGAGATGCGCAGTCGGAAGCCGACTGGATTTTGCAAGAAGTAAGCCGGCACTGTTCATCTGGCGAGTGCCACCAGCAGCATGCGCCCTACAACAGCTTGCAGTTCTTGGAAGAGTTGAGTCGGTCGTTTTTCAACCTTCTCCAGGTGACCGATCTAGAGCAGGACGCGCGACTGGAGCATCCTGGTCCTGCAGAGTACAAGAGATGGCGGAGCTGGCAAAATCGGAGCCTTACAAATCCTCTAGACTGCTGCGGCCTTGAGATAGAGACGCTAGCAAGAAGCCCCGTGCTTCGCCCAAGGCCTTTCTTGGACGAGTATTATGAGCAGAAGTGGCCTCCAGCATTGACGGAGATGAACAGAGTCGAGCGAGATCTATTTTCATGCCAGGGTGTACTTGTCGAAATCGCCCTTCACGAGCTGGTGGTTTTGTACATACACTCGGGGTCACCCGCGTTCATTCTGCGCGAACGGAAGAGTTTGCCTCCCAGGGCTCGAAGGAGGTACCTGAAGTGGAGTGAACGGTGTGCCTACCACTACAGCAAGTTCGATCGCTTGCGCTTTTGGGCACAGAGCTTGCTTGACTTTACGACCAGTCGGGTACAGGTGGAGCCAAGGCAGGACCAACTTTTTGTAGATGTGCTGCCTGCAAACAGCACGGTTTATCCAGAGGGGCGCGCAGCAGTCAAGCAATTCGGCATTCTCGTGAGCTGCACTCAGCAGACGCAAGCTTTCTGCCGCTTACCGGTGGGCCTGTGGCAATGCTATGCAAGAAAGCACTCGCACAACACCGAGGTTTGGTATCGGGAGCAGATCTTTGATTTCAACAGCGCAGCAGCACTCAGATGCTTTCTGGGGTCACGTCCGACGGGCTCAGCACGTGAACAAGGCGTAGAATTTACAGGCCTGGATCGTGGCGACAATGAAACGAGGTCCTTTTACTCTTGGCGCACATCCTTTAACTCACTTCCATTTAGTAGCATGTGCTTACTCTATCATGAGGCTCTGCATGACAAGTGGCGTACGAAACGGATGGCGGCGGATGTGTTTGCGGGATATGAGTGGCATCTTCTGGTGGATGGTGGGGACGTCACTGTCGGGCCCGACTGTTTCAACGAGAATCTGGAGAAGATGATTTCGACAGTGCCAGACGAAGCCAGCATCGTTGTGAAGGATCCGAGTGAGCTTGAAGATAGCAACGGAGGAGTGGTGCTGGTCCGACGGTCGCCTTTGGGGAAACTTTTTCTGGACTTGATGCTGGATAAGATCAGCTGGCCAATGCAACTAATAGGAAGCGGCTGCTATTTCGATCAGCCCAGTATGAATGAAGCTCTTTTGGAGATACTCGCGTGGGAGACGGGGGCTGAGTATAATTCAGATTGCTTGCCGCACATGTTCATTGAGCCTGTGGGGGATGGCCACTTTCAGTGTAACTACCTTGCTCACCTGTTGTGTTTCAAGTCTCATCTGCGGCGCATGGCAGGCCCCTTTGGAAATCGTAGCAGCCGCAAGGTCTTCTTCCTGCCGCCCCACGCAGCGGCAGACATGAATTTCCGGCCCTTTGGCAATGTGCCAGACGGGGCGATCACCGACGACCTTGCTTCCTTTCGGTGGAGGCCATTCCTGTGGCACTGGGTGAACTACGGGGCCAAGCGCAAAGTAATGCTGCAACACCATGGCCTTGCAGAAGATGCCGAGGCATCTCTTCCACCGTGCCTGGGACCCCCTTTCGCCGTTGTGTTGGTAATGAATGAATCGCAAACAAACACATAGACATATGTACATGTATATGGAAATACGTACTTATGAGCATGTCTGCTGTCAGTGTGCACCAGCATGCTTGCACATGGCATGCTGCCTTCCTTTAAATGTGGGGAGTCCTGAGTGCAAGGTATCCGCCTCATGACCAGCGGAAGGAAGCTTCGGCATGGCGCAAGTTTTCTGAGCTGGAGGCGCAATGGTGCCAGCGCAACCTTGCCAGCAGTCCGCGTCGGTGCACGCTTCGGTCCTCAACCAAAGTGTGTGAGCATCTGAAGCCAGGAGGCTTGGTTAGGTACTGCTAGCGCCAAAAAGTGGGAGTACGTTTATAAGCGCATGTGCCACTACCGAGACGAATCTAATGAACCTAAAGGAGGGGCTTATATTCAATTACATACATTATCATTGATATTAATGATGGAAACGAAACGGAGGATTCAAGAATTGCAAGTCACGATGTGACATACGTATAGTAGGCTTCTTCATTTTTCTAAGCTTTCTAAGTGACAATCAAGTCTTGACTTCCATGATTTTCAAATGATTATGGTTCTTGGGTTATTTCATCGGAGGGTAAGTTGACAGCAATTTGGCGTGTAGGTTCCCTAGAACCAGGGTACGGGCCATATACACTGAATGCTATGGACTCCATCTTCAAAGGTCGTCGACGAATACATGCCCAACGAAAGCGGGTAGTGCCTCAGTTTCGAAAATGAAAGGAAATGATCTGATTTGTGCTTGGCCGTGTCGGCAAGATTCCAAATATTCCGAGGGAACGTATGGAGCATTATGATGGAAAACAAATTCGTCGAATGAATATTGGGGGATTGAAGTGGTTGTTGACAGCAGACATCCCGATCCGCCTTCAATTTGGTGAGAAGGGCTCGCATAAAAGGTCGGTATTTCGCAAATATGACCCAATAGATTACGAGGAGAAGATACGTATGCTGGCTTCTTTGGAAGCTATACAAGATGAATTGTACTTTGATTGAGAAATAACATAATAGAAATATTATAATACTTCCTGGTGTTGTGGCCCAGGTCTTCGTCCTCCCCGAGCCCGGCCCCTTGAGCAACTGCAAGCGCCTCTTGCGGGGTTTTTTAGGGTCCTCTCACCCCTTCGGGTCCCCCTAGGCTTCCCTCAAGTGCCTGTGCAGGAGGTCTGCTTTGAGTAGGCAGCCGATGTGGGAGCACACATGTTTTAGGGTTTAGGGTGTAGGGTCCTAGGTTGTCTGCGGGTTTAGGGTTTAGGGAACAGTGCATGTCGGTTGGAGTTGACTTGACTGGCAATCGAGGGTAAAGATTGGTATAAGTCCAGCGTGCTGCGAGAGTGTCCGGAGTCCCATTCGCCCCATTGACCCCCATTTACCTTCCCTCTGCCTTGTCTTTGAGGCGCTTCACGGCGGGCGGCGATGTCATGGACAAAGGACAGACAAAATACTCGGCGAAACACAACGGTCTATCGTGTGCAGGGGCTTTACAATGTATCAGTTCACTTTCAATGGGAGGGAGCGGACTGAAACTTTCGAGGGCCTGCAATGTTTCAGTCTGTCGCACCCGGGGGGCCCTGCAATGTATCAGTTCTTTCTGGATAAGCAATTCACTTCTGTTGTGCAAAAATATCATCTTCGCTCACTATATGCAGTTGTTTTGAGTATCGGTTTCCCTCTTCGCTCTATATGCGCTTGTTTTGCTTGTTGGTGCGTCTTCGCTTACTATGTGCGGTTGTTTTGCCTATTGGTGCGTCTTCGCTTACTATATGATCTATAGATCCTAATTCCCGCCTCCAACCCCACCAGGACGCGTCACGTCTTTCCCAGGCCTCTTGCCTTGTGAGCCCCTGGCTCAATCAGTGCTGAGCTCTGCCGCTTTTCTTGTAGTTGCACGAGACCCATGCAACCAGACGTGGAGGAAGAGCTGAGCTCCCTTTTGGCCAGCGAGGGAGGCTCAGTCGGCTCAGTGCGAGAATTTGGAGAAGCAGCGTTTACCAGGCCTCGCAGCTGCGCGCTTGGCACCAGCGTAGTTCTACTTCTACTGGGCTTCGTGGGCGTGTGGGCTCATCACAGCGCGCCCAGCGCGCTCCGCTCGGGTGCCCTGCAAAGTGGTGCCTCGATGCTGGCGGAGGCTCCGACAGCTCCGACCCTGAAGCCGTGGGATTGCAACACCGGATTTCCGATACAGCTCAGAGGAGACATAAGTATGCAATCTTGGGACTTGGATACCCTTGACGTGCCTTCTGGCAAGTACCAGAGATTGGCATCGATGAAAAGGATCCCCAACATTATCCAGCTCAATGCTTGCGCAACTTGAGCTGCCGGTGGTTTTTGCTAGCTTTTCCATGTTTGGCATGTTCCCTCGTACCATGGCGAAGATCATGTAGCTGATGTCCCGAGCACAATATGCTCGGACGTACTGAGGCAATGAACCCGAAGGACAACTTCATGTATTGCTGCGTGGCAGAGATGACCGGACGACGCCTTGCAGCTGCTTGGTCTTTAGTTCAGACCACTGACGAATGAAGTCTGAGTGGCACCACTGATGCCCAAGGGATCCTGGGTGGTTCGGCTTGGCATTGTCAATCTGACTTCGAAACAAGCAGGACATGGGGGAATATGGGTGAATTTTCAGATTCTTGTGAGTCTTGTCAAGTTCCAGCGGGCACGGGCCCTCGCAGGACTCGAATTTGCTGCGCATCTTCCCACGGGAAACTATGACGCCGGTGCCTTCGACTCGGATGGGAACTACTACACAGGCACCGATCGCGCCTTGATCAGGGCAAGCCCTGTGAATAGGGTAGTCAGCGCAACAATAAGTTTAAAGAAGTCGCTGTTATCAGACATGTAGTGAAACGGAGTGACCATGCCTGAAGTCATGCGGTATCATGAGGGCTTGCCGTCCGGTATCATTGCGCCGTGCCAGATCTCAGGATTGGTTTTCTTGAAGGATTTGCACACAGCGGAAGGCAAGAGCTTTGAAGAGCGACAGGAGGCCTCTGACCGGACCAGCACCCCAGCTTGGAAGAATGGTGGATGTGCAGCTGGAGACTGGGCATACATGTCACATGGGGACCTCAAGCTCTTGTGGATAGTTCATGACAAGAAGGTGAAGACTTTGGATATAAGCGGAGGGCCCGACATCGAACCGAAGTGCCAGACATGGAGCGCCCGGGGCATGCCAAGCATTGCAAGATATTTTGGTGCAGCATGGACATTTTCGGACGCAAAAGGCAACCACCACGTGTATGTGGCCAACAACGACAAGAGGCTCGGACAAATTCTTGCCATCGATTCCAGCTCGATTGACACTAAAGCCTTGACAGTCGGCTTGGAGAAAATGCCGTGGGCCGATCCAATCGAAGTTGCAAACGACGGCGTGAGCTGCATGAATGCCCCTTCCCCCTGGCCTACGAAAGAAGTCAAGGCTGAGGTAAAGGTTGAGGAGCCTGCCCCCAAGGCTGGCTATGAGTGGGTTCTCATGGGCGAGAGCACAGTCTGCCGAGCTGACAAAGGAGATCACGACACTATGCCCGACTCGCCAAGCATCACCCTCGCTCATGCGCCCTGGCACTTATATGGCTTTGGACTGTTTTCTTTTCCTTATGCTGTACGCTTTGCTCTTATTCTCTTTGTGCCCAAACGCTGTTCCAAGCTCTCATGCTCCACCTCTTTTGTCCTTATGCTCCAGAATCGCTCGGTTATGCTACCGTTTCCGTCGTTATTCTCAGCGTGTTTTTTATTATGCTGACCTGGCTTTTTATTATGCTCCTCAGTCCTCCCATTATTCTCCTCCCTACCTTCTCCCCCCCCCCCCCCCCCCCCCCCCCCCCCCCCCCCGCTCCCCCCCCCGGTCCCTCCTCCCATCCTCCCCTCCACGTCCCCCTCCTCCCCTCATTCCCCTCCCACCACCATTCCCAATCTTATTCAACAGTCGCACTAATACCATCCAATACCCACTTACCCACCACTGCTCGCCATCCTACTATCCACCCACCATGCAACATCATCATGTCCCACATGTCCCACCAATATAGTCTGACCATTCCCCACCACTCGCCATCCCTACCATCACATGACTCGACGTTCCTACATTTCCACAACTCCCACCATTACCCGTTACCCACCATTCCCTCCTTTCCTGCCACTATCAGCTATTCTCTACCCCCACAAGTGCCCAGTAGAAACCCACCAAGCCCACCCCTACACCCCACTGTTACCCATTGCCCACCAGTGCAGACCACTTGCCCGCTATTTTGCCTAAACCCTATAAACCCTCTTTAACCCAAAATCTCTGCAGGCTCCGCCGTTATTCCCTGCCAGTCCCAACCTTACCCATCAGTACTCACCATCCTACTACCCATCAATGACCCACCATGCAACACACTACCAGCCACCATGCAACACCATACACATCGCACCATGACCCATCATTCCCACCATTTCCCACCAACATTTCTCTGCCAGTTGGACCATTTCCCACCCCTCGCCATCTCCACCATCACATACCGGTCAGCATAAGAACAAATCGCTGTCCTGTGGCTTTCATCCATAGGCTGAGCTAGCAGCTAGCAACTCGAAACTAGTCGAGTGGAGTTCACAATCACTGTGTGCTTCAAGCTGAGGAATGCAACTATGGGCCATGCAAGACCCTTGGGGCCGAGATTCCCTTGACAGTGGAGGATTGCCAGAAGCGGTGTCAGGACTCACCCGGCTGCAATGCTGTGGAGATCCGGAAGTCGGAGGCAGGAGAGCCGAAGATCTTGGAGTGCGACAGTCCCGTTCTCCCAGAAACTCCAATACCCCTTAATTAAGGAATATTCCTTAAAGTATAAGAAGGATCCTTATATGGTTTAAGGAATATTCCTTAATTAAGGGGTATTGGAGTCTTTGGGCATATGAAGAGAAGATGCCAGGACCGCTGCGAGATCCTGGAGCAGACGACGACGTGGTTCCAAAACGTGGGGGCGAAACCTACGGAGCCTTGAGTGAATACGATTTGCTTGGGCGTCTCTCGTTGCCATGTTAGAACAAACACGTAGCGTGCTTTTGCAGTCTTCAGGGCGAAGCCACTAGATGCAAATATGTGTAAAGCGAGCAGACATCGCTTGACGCAAGTCCAAGTCCAACGTCCCCTAGACGGCGTCATCTAATTCCTGAGCCGATGTTCCTGAAAAGCAAGGCTTGATGACAAGCTCCTGATGACTATCGCGCATGCGATGCGAGCGATGATATGTTTGTGTTCACGTGTGCACATCATGGATGCGGCTCAGGTGTCTGGACCACCAGATTTCCAATGCTGGATCTACAAGCCATCCTGCGATTCGCTCAAGGCCTTTAAGGAGCTCGGGACCGTGCAGATCTGAAAAAATCGCGACTCACGGTGTTTGTTTCTTTCTGAAAGGATAACGGTGCCAAGTCGGAGACCTTCAGCCAGGCTTGGAGCATCTGCTTCCCGTGCCTTGTGCATTGTGAAATATAAAACCTCAAGACGATTGGCCCGAAAGCATCGATTTGCCGTGCGTTGACTCTATGCACTTGACTCTCTGCACTCGAACTGCATGCGCTTAGTCCAACGATATTTGCGAGGGTTTCGACACCCCGGAATTCGAGTCCCACGATATTTGCGAGGTTTTCGATGCCCCGGAATTCGAGTCCCACGATATTTGCAAGGGTTAGATCAAGGCCCGCGGTGGGTCCATTGGGGGAGGGGGGGGTGACCACATATATATATATATATATGTGAGAGGGACCTTTTGGGTCCATTTCACGTATATCACTTGTATGAGGAATTTAATTTATTTACCTATTAATTTCTTTAATTTCTTTAATTTCTGGGGCTCTCTTAGGGAAATAAATGAAATTAAAGAAATTAATTAATTTCATTAATTTCTTTAATTTCTGGGCCTCTCTGTGCGAAATTAAAGAAATTAAAGAAATTAATTAATTTCTTTAATTTCATCAATTTCATTAATTTCTTTAATTTATTTTAATTAGTCCCGTGAGCCGGGGGGGCTACCCCAATTAATTTCTTTAATTTCTTTAATTTCTGGGCCTCTCTGTGAGAAATTAAAGAAATTAAAGAAATTAATTCCGGTAGCCCTTCGGGCTTGCGAGACTAATTAAAAGAAATTAATGAAATTAAAGAAATTAAAGAAATTAATGAAATTAATTAATTTCTTTAATTTCTTTAATTTCTGGGCCTCTCTGTGAGAAATTAAAGAAATTAAAGAAATTAATTAATTTCATTAATTTCTTTAATTTCTGGGCCTCTCTGTGCGAAATTAAAGAAATTAAAGAAATTAATTAATTTCTTTAATTTCATTAATTTCTGGGCCTCTCTGTGAGAAATTAAAGAAATTAAAGAAATTAATTAATTTCATTAATTTCTTTAATTTCTGGGCCTCTCTGTGCGAAATTAAAGAAATTAAAGAAATTAATTAATTTCTTTAATTTCATTAATTTCATGAATTTCTGTAATTTATTTTAATTAGTCCCGTGAGCCGGGGGGGCCCCCCCAATTAATTTCTTTAATTTCTTTAATTTCTGGGCCTCTCTGTGAAAAATTAAAGAAATTAAAGAAATTAATTAATTTCATTAATTTCTTTAATTTCGGGGCCTCTCTGTGAGAAATTAAAGAAATTAAAGAAATTAATTAATTTCATTAATTTTTTCATTTCTTTAATTTCTGGGCCTCTCTGTGCGAAATTAAAGAAATTAAAGAAATCAATTAATTTCTTTAATTTCATTAATTTCATTAATTTCTTTAATTTATTTTAATTAGTCCCGTGAGCCGGGGGGGCCCCCCAATTAATTTCTTTAATTTCTTTAATTTCTGGGCCTCTCTGTGAGAAATTAAAGAAATTAAAGAAATTAATTAATTTCATTAATTTCTTTAATTTCTGGGCCTCTCCGTGAGAAATAAAAGAAATTAAATAATTTCATTAATTTCTTTAATTTCTGGGCCTCTCTGTGCGAAATTAAAGAAATTAAAGAAATTAATTAATTTCTTTAATTTCATTAATTTCATTAATTTCTTTAATTTATTTTAATTAGTCCCGCGAGCCGGGGGGGCTACCCCAATTAGTTTCTTTGATTTCTTTAATTTCTGTGCCTCTCTGTGAGAAATTAATGAAATTAAAGAAATTAATTCCGGTAGCCCTTCGGGCTTGCGAGACTAATTAACAGAAATTAAAGAAATTAAAGAAATTAATGAAATTAATGAAATTAATTAATTTCTTTAATTTCTTTAATTTCTGGGCCTCTCTGTGAGAAATTAAAGAAATTAAAGAAATTAATTAATTTCATTAATTTCTTTAATTTCTGGGCCTCTCTGTGAGAAATTAAAGAAATTAAAGAAATTAATTAATTTCATTAATTTCTTTAAATTTCTGGGCCTCTCTGTGCGAAATTAAAGAAATTAAAGAAATTAATTAATTTCTTTAATTTCATGAATTTCATTAATTTCTTTAATTTATTTTAATTAGTCCCGTGAGCCGGGAGGGGGCCCCCAATTAATTTCTTTAATTTCTTTAATTTCTGGGCCTCTCTGTGAGAAATTAAAGAAATTAAAGAAATTAATTCCTGTAGCCCTTCGGGCTTGCGAGACTAATTAAAAGAAATTAATGAAATTAAAGAAATTAAAGAAATTAATGAAATTAATTAATTTCTTGAATTTATTGAATTTCTGGGCCTCTCTGTGAGAAATTAAAGAAATTAAATAAATTGATCAATTTCATTAATTTCTTTAATTTCTGGGCCTCTCTGTGCGAAATTAAAGAAATTAAAGAAATTAATTAATTTCTTTAATTTCATTAATTTCATTAATTTCTTTATTTTATTTAAATTAGTCCCGTGAGCCGGGGGGGCTCCCCCAATTAATTTCTTTAATTTTTTTAATTTCTTTAGTTTATGGGCCTCTCTGTGCGAAATTAAAGAAATTAAAGAAATAAATTCCGGTAGCCCTTCGGGCTTGCGAGACTAGCCCCGAATTCGCTGTTTCCAAAACCATCGCAAGGAGCTTCCGTGGCTGGTTCCAAAACCATCGCAAATACCATGGTCCCCGAATTCGCTGGTTCCAAATGCATGGCACATACCATGGTCCCCGAATTCGCTGCTTCCAAAAGCATCGCAAATACCATGGTCCCCGAATTCGCTGTTTCCAAAACCATCGCAAGGAGCTTCCGTGGCTGGTTCCAAAAGCATCGCAAATACCATGGTCCCCGAATTCGCTGGTTCCAAACCATGGCAAATACCATGGTCCCCGAATTCGCTGTTTCCAAAAGAATCGCAAATACCATGGTCCCCGAATTCGCTGTTTCCAAAACCATCGCAAATACCATGGTCCCCGAAGTCGCTGGTTCCAAAAGCATCGCAAATACCATGGTCCCCGAATTCGCTGCTTCCAAAAGCATCGCAAATGCCATGGTCCCCGACTTCGCTGGCTCCAAAAGCATCGCAAATACCATGGTCCCCGAATTCGCTGGTTCCAAACCATGGCAAATACCATGGTCCCCGAATTCGCTGGTTCCAAAACCATCGCAAATACCATGGTTAATGATTTCGCAAAATCACATGGTGCTCCAATGCCGAGCGTGCGAAAACATCGCAAATTTCATTGTTATTTAATTCCCGGCGTGCGAAACTCACTTCGGTCAGATTTCACTGTGCTTCTCTGCTCTTTGAAGCTCCAAGGTCTTCTTGCCAACCTCGCTCTTCTGTCCTTTTTTCTTTGAAAGGCGCTCTGGAGTGTGAGCTTGGACTTCAGAGCGACTGCCGATGATGCTCATGGCTGACGGCTCTCGCGTTAGATGTTTTTGTCTTTTCTTTCATAGCATCCATTGACAGGACGTGCGCAGCCGAGTCGGGTGCATGCAAGTGAAGTTCATACAGTTCAAGTCCGTTTACTTCAGATCTATTGAATGCCAATGAAGTGTATAGAGTTGACCACAAGTGCATGGCATTCAACTCAACACACTTGAGTGCCATGCAGTTCGAGTGCATACACGTCCAGTATACAAGTGCAGTATACAAGTGAGTATGCAACCATATAAGTGCATACACT